CGCGTTTGGCGAGGTGCGGCCAGGAGAACCAATGCTGGAGCCGCTCATCAAGCGATCGTGCCTGATGCGTTTAATTCCTCGCAAGTTGTTGTTGTTGTTTGGCGTGGCGGCGCCGAGGAACCATTAGGCGAACATCTTCGCATTCAATTTTGCCCGCGGAACCGGATTCGGACTAGAAGCAACACGGCGACTTTCGGAGAAGAGCTACTGATATAAAGGGAAAGATTGCCGCAGCAAGGATCCGAAGTAATTGATTAAACTCGCGAAAACTGGCAAACTCGTCCGAATGTTGGGGGTGTTGCTGGCGCCGCGGGCCGTCGCCCTCTCTGTTATGTCCGTGCATGCTGCTGCGGCAGTGGTTTCTTCTGCCCCCGCGTGACCTGCCCGGCCCGGACTGCACCTCGCCGCATCGCCGCCTCGCTGCGTTACGTGGTTTGCGAACGGCCCGCGGTGGCCGGCCTGGATCCGATCTGGATCCGATCTGGATCGCCCAGACAATGGTCGACGCGATGGCCGGAATGAATAGGCGGAAGACCGAACTACACGCCGTGACACACACGGCGCGCTTTCGTCGTTCTCTCTCTGTCTAACCGCCTCCAGGGTCGCGCCCCAAGGATGCATGCGAGAGAGAGAGAGAGAGCGACGAAGCTCTGTTTGGACTCGGCCTGCCTGCAGCGTCGCACGCCCCAGCGCGTGGCGCGGTGCGCGCCGGGCAGAACGAGAAGCAGGGCGGGAAGCAGAACGGCCGGCCGGGGGTCGCTCTGTCTCGCTCTGTCTCTCTCGCACGCATAGGTCACAAACGGTCACAAATGTCTGAAAAATCGTGTATTGATCAACTTTGCGGCAATACTGCTCCCAAACTAAGGCAGATAATCGCACTCCGTAACAAAGGCATGCGAAAGGAAGGCCCAAAGACCAATTGCCCGTTAAGGGAGGATGAAATACCGCCCCGGATTAGACGCAGTGGCTGCTTAAAGTCGGCCCAAAACACGATTTTTCAAAGACATTTGTGACCGTTTTGATCATTTTTCCTGCAATACTGCTTCCAAACTAAGGTGGATTATCGCACTTTGTATCAAAGGCATGCTAAAGGAGGGGTCGCGTGGGGTCGCGAAATTTTTCCTGGGGGTCGCGGAAATTTTTCGCTCCAAATTTGGGGTCGCGAACCGAAAAAGGTTGAGAAACGCTGGGGTAGCGCCAGAGTAGCGCCACAGCGCGGTAACCACACACTGATGGCGATCGAGGACCTGCTCCAGCACGCCCCGATCAGGGCTTGGTATCTCTCTCTCTCTCTCTCTCTCTCTCACACTCACCCGTGGGGTGCCCCGCGGTCGTCCGGGCGAGCGAGCCAACAGGCCACACCGCCGCCGCGAGCATCACGAAGGCCCCGCGCCTTGACCGTGCCGCTCTGGGCGGAAGGGCCGAACAGCGCTTGTCGCGTTGTCTATCTCTCTCTCTCGCACTCCTGCCCAGTGCCCCACGAGTGCGAGAGAGACGGAGCGACGTCCAGAATGAGCCTCGGCGGAACTGGAACCCCGGGAAGTGGACTGGCCGTCGATACGACGCCTTTGTCCGGCCGCGGGGCTGCGGGGCTGCGGCCGCCAGTCGGCCACTTTGCCTACGTCCGGGCACAACGAGCACCCGGAGCACCGAGCCCTGGCTGCCAGCCTGGCTGGCCGGCTCACCCGGCCGGACACACGAGCAGCCAGTCGGAAGAGTCGGCACGCGGGCCGCACGCCTCACACTGCAGCTCCGGGCCGCGGGGAAATTTCGTGTTGTCATATCCTCTGACGCCTGCACGGCCCGGGCCGCCGCGGTCCCTGGCCGGCCCCGCTCTTTCACAATAGTCATTCCCCTGAGAGAAAGGTAGTCGTCCAGAGCGACGCAGCGCCGCCAGTGCCGGCATCCACCCACACCGGTCGGGCCGGCGTTGCCACATGCCGATCAGATACTGCTTCCCCTTCCCCCTCCCCCTCCGCCGCGACCGCCGCGACGCCCAGCCAGTTACCTCAATCGCCGCTTCTTTCTCTTTTTTGCTTGCCGCCACTTTGTCCGGCGCCTGATTGCTGAATTGGCCGGCCGCCTAATGAAGCGGCAGCACGCCGCGGACGACGCGGACGACGCGGACGACGCGGACGTCGCGGACGTCGCGGAATTAGCAGTGGGGCTGACGGGGGCTCCCTGACTCGATGCGACTTCGCATATTAGACAAGGCCGGCCCCGCGGGGGGCAGAAGAGCGAACCGCTGTGACGCATATCACTGTGTGGCGGCAAACAACATGACAAATTTTCGCCGCTCCAAGTTGTCCGTGTCGAGGTCAAGACCGCCGGGCCGGTAGTGCGGTGGCCGCGTTTTGAACCCCGTTTCAGGCAAGTTTGGGGACCCCGCGGACGGAGTGGACGGAGTGGACGGAGTGAGGGACCCACGGCACCCGGGACACCCCACCGCGGGGCCCCGGGGAGCTCGCCGTGCCGTGGAGCCGACCGGGGCCGGGCCGGGCCGCCTCTCCTATTTGAGGTAAACTAGTGCTGCTCACAACCCAGTCCCAAAAAACCATGGGTCGCATGGGATCCCATGAGTCATATTCCATGGGACCTAACTGAAATCCCATGAGAACGCGGGTCAGCACCATGGGTAAGTGTCCTCCCATGGAAAATAGAGGTGATTTCCCATGGCGCGGGATGAACACCATGGGAGGGCCTCTCCATGGTGTGAACTTTTCCATGGCGTCGCCATTCCCATGGGATGGAATTCCTGCCCGTGCGTTGAAGTCTCCGTCTAATTTTTACGTTTAGGTAATATCATGTCAACGGTGACTTGTAGACAAAATCTAGTTCCAAAATCGGTTGTATCGTGAAAAGTTCACCTGAGGCTGACATGAATGTGGGTGATGACCCTCGCAGACGGAGGCACTTCAAACAATGATCTTTCTAGACACTCTGTCATGGCAAGGAAGTGCTCCCATGGGACACACCATGGGGCATCTCCCCATGGGTTGCTCAACACCATGGGAAATGGTGCAAAAAATCAATGGGATATCTTCCCCATGGGAAAAATCGGTCCATGGTGTCCCATGGCGTCCCATGACTCATGGGATGCTCCATGGGTTTTTGGGACTGGGAATGGCTCGATGGCCCATGGCTGTCACACCTTGTTGCTTACGACTCCCGCTACCTAGCGGCCTAGTCGCCTGGCCTGGCCCGCCTGGCCTGGCTGCCGCTGGCTGGACATGAACCGGCGTCCTGGTTAGCGCGCTCCATTGTGGCGGCTGGGACGGCCGTCGCGGCGTCGCGGCGTCGCGGCCGAGAAACCCCATCCGTCCTCGCCCAGCCTCGTCCACACCGACAACAGTGGTTACGCCCGGCGTTTGGAGTGGAGGCGTCGGCGTCGATTCAGTTTTGTGGTCCAAAGTTGTCGTTCTCCTTGTAAGATGGGGAGTCGGTCATGGGGGGTTATGCTCTGGGCCAGACGACCGGGGGGAGGCGGCCAAAATTCGTGACGCGTTTTGAGCTCCAGAGACAACAAAAAAAAAATCGAACCGAACGCGTGAACCCACTAATACATTGCTCTCCGAACGAGGGTCACAGGTGGGGGTCACACTTTCGGTTCGAGTCCTATGTTAGCGACTCTAAAGCTCAAAACGCGTCTAGAGTTTTGGCCGCCTTCACCGGGCTTCTGGCCCACTGTGAGGTCCTCGGCGGAAGGAATAAGCCCTTCCCTAGGGCGGCGTCGTCTTCTATGCCGTCGTCGTGAACCGCCCCGTGAACCGCCCCGCCACGGTCCACCGGTCCGCTAACAACAGTAGTCGCTCCAAGGCGCGGTGCTCTCTGGGCGGCCATGCGATGCCTTGCGATGCCTTGCGACAACTCGTGCTGCTGGCAGGCTGGCCGTCGGGGCGTGCCCCGCCACAGCGTGGCGTGTACGGCGTGGCGTGTACGGCGTGCCGTGACACGGCCTCTCTCTTCCATTTCTCCTCGCTCACCGCACGATAATTACTATCACTCCCAGGGAAGTCCCGGGCCTTTGTTGCGCTGCCAGCGGCTCGACGTCGCTCTGTCTCTCTTGCACCCCGCGGAACGCCCCACCAGTGTGAGGGAGACAGACAGCGGTCTTCGGAATCAGAAGTGCCGCCACTGCACGCCGCGGAAATAGACACGCGACACGTGCTCGTCGAGGACACGCGACCTGGCTGCGCGGACGAGCGACGCTGGGACAAGATTTTTCTTAGGATTGCTTACTCTGTTGTCAAGGAGAAAATAGCGACTGACGATGGCAGCGAAGTCGCCGCGGCGGCGACGAAAACGCTGGCAGGTCGCTCTGAAAATCAAGAGCTATTTCCCTCGCAAGGCCAACTGGCGAGCCGGCACCTTTACTCTGCTTTCGAATTTGGAGGTTGCTAGAACATTTTGACCGCATTTGCTGTGAGTCTCAGTGAAAACCCTCTTAAGCGGCTGGACTCAGATCAGAGCACTCCTCGCGTGAAGTCTCTGGCGCGCGGAGTATGGCGGCGACGGCGACGGCCCGCCCAGCTGGAGTAGAGACGCCGCTCCAGAGCATTCCCCGCGTAGAGTCTCTGGCGCGCGGAGTATGCCGGCGTCCTGCCGCGCCAGGGCGCGCCACGCGACCTCTGGCGCGCCCTGGCGGCCACGCCGCCAACCACCCACCGGAGAAATGGACACCAATCTCCTCCTGATGCGATGATGCTTGGCGATGCGGCGGCGGCCCTTCCAGGCCCGGCTAGGCCCGGCGGCGCCCTGCAGCGGCAAACTGCGGCAAACTGGCACTCCGGCGCGGGATTGAACCAAACTCTCAGTGTGATGCGTTTCGCGTGCAGGGCGTGCTCGCGGCGTGTCGCAGTGCCGCTCTGCTGTCCCGGCGGGGTGGTTGAACTGCGTGCTGATGGGTGACACCTTGACAGCTACGGAATCAGTGATTAGTCCCGCGTCGCTACCCGAACGTCCTTTACTCTACTCGGCTCCCTGACTACGTTCTCGGCGTTCTAGTCGCGGGCAGGGACCGCGACGGGGGCCATCGCCTCGACGAACGCCGGCCTTCGCTCGCCGGCCCTGCGCTGGCGAACGGCGTCCTGGCGGCGGTGCCACGCCAGCTCGGCCAGCAGCACGGCCACGGAGGCCGCCATGAGGGAGAGCAGGATTTGGAAGGGCGCGCGCACGTCCGTCAGCGACACCGAGTTGAACCTGGCCGCGTTGTTGGAGCAGGTGGGCCTGGCGTGGGTGAACTTGCGGTCGAAGCGGTTCCGGATGCCCCGCTCCACGATCCGCCGCAGCCTGACCGAGGCAAAGGGGGTTAACGATGTACTCCGACATGTTTCTGTCGTTCTGACAAAATTTACACGAGTGAGAGGTAAGGTCGGACAAAAGGAGGTCGTACAAAAATCTAACAGCGGGAAGTAAGTATTTAAGTCGGGCGAATTTTGGCAGATCGGACAAGAAGAGGTCGTACAAACGATGTAGACCTTAAGGGGGCACACCAGTGAAAATGTAGAGGTTTTGAAAAACGATCATTCTGAGAAAAGTAACCTACGTATTCGATTGATATTTTATTCGTGGCTCAAAATTATATCAAAGAAAAGAAAAATCAGTATGGGAGGGTGGGGTAGCGATGGCACGACGGAGCGCCAGTGCACTTCATTTTTCTGCGACCTCGTCTCACTCCTGCCACGATTCCGCCTCTCTGGATTGAGCCTCGAGGACGGGGTTTGAAAATTTCTCAACAGGACACATGTGGCTATGGTCTGAACCACGGGCATGCAAAAAGAATGATTTTGAATTTGTTTTTTCAAAAGGCAAAAATAGAAACAAATTTTTTGACCAATTTTTTTGCGCTTTCATGGCTGCAGCTCACGTCCTATTTATGGGATCATCATTTCCGAGGTTCAGACCATAGACGCAAGTTTAACGAACATTTTGCCGCAAACCGCATTAATTTATCTCAATTTTTGCGCCCGTGAGAGTGGCACAAAGGTACAAAAAAGGTGTTTTGAGAAAAAGTCCTTTTAGTAGAAACATAGATTTGACGTGTTTTTTCGGATTATAAATGCGCCTTTTGAAGTATTTAAGTTCGTGTTGCGCCAAAATGTCCCTCTTTTTAACTGCGTTTGGGTGGTTCAAGGGTTTTGTAATTAAACTTTTAGTGAAAAACCTGAACGTTCACAATTGGTCTAAAATAGCCAAAAATAATAACCCTTTTAGCAACTTCAAAAATGTGCACAAGCCAAAGTAATTGGAATTTTGGGGTGGGGTTTGCGGCATTCGACTCGGAATGAATAGCAGAAAAATAAGATAAAATAAAAAAGAATGCAAAAATTTGACAATTTTCACTGGTGTGCCCCCTTAAGGGCACCCCGTGGGACGAGCCAGCGGCGTGATGTAGCCCGCAATGGTAATGGTAATGATGCCACGGGCCGCCCGTCGTGTCCCGGTGCACGATGGGTTGCCTACCGCCACGGCGCTCGGTGCGCTCTGACACTCACATGATCCTTATGGCCTCGGCGTTGTGCGTGTGCTTGGCCAGGGCGATCTGCGGGTCCTTGACGCTCACGAAGTCCCTGCCGAGGGTCACCAGGCCGCACTTCTCGTCCTCGGTCCAGGTGCGGCTGATGGCGCCATAGATGAGGTTTTTGAAGCCGTTGAGGGCGAAGTACTCGTGCTGCACCTTGCGCACGGCCTCCGTCACGTTGTACAGGTGCTTGGCGCGCCCGTTCTCCAGGACCTTGTCCGTGTACAGCTTGCGGCGCACTGGTTCCGTCTCTTTCTGTCAGAACCACCTTGCCTATTTTACCCAATCCACAAACTGACATTGATAAAGCCACTGTCCTAAAATTCCCGCGAGCAAATTTGAGCCATTATTTTTTTTCAATTCCGGGAAAATTCATTTTTTGGGACAGTAAAAACTTTCTTCAAGTGACAGGTCACTACAGTCACATTTGGCTGACTTACGGAAACGTAGAAGACGATGTACGGGGTGTTGACGAGCCCGAACTTCATCTGCGTGTCGAGCAGGTCCTTGTAGTGGGTGATCTTGGTGCTGGTGCTCTGCATGAGCACCACGATGGAGGCGGAGTAGCACGTGTACAGCAGCAGCAGCAGCATCAGCATCATGAGCACGATGATGCGGCCGGGGACGCTGCGCAGGTCCGTCGAGTACCCTGGCGTCACCCACGCCCCCTTCAGCTTTGACTCACCGATTTGAGTGAAAGATGCCATCATTCAACAGTGTCGTGGGGTGAAGACAGTGAAGTCAAAGCCCTCCCCACCTTGCTGGCACACGGCGGCCACGGTCATGAGCAGCGCGTCGGCGCCCGAGTGCAGGGCGTGGTCCTCGGCGTGGTCGTCGCCGAAGTCGGGGCCGGCCTTCCCGGCCGTCCCGGCCTTCGCGGCGGCCAGGGAGCGCTCCGAGTGCGTCACCAGGGTGAGGAGGCCCGCGCACAGCAGCATCACGGCGGCCGCCGCGGCCCACAGCGTGACCGGGAAGGGCAGCGAGAACACGTTGGTCTCGTACGAGAGGGGCGGCGCGCGGAACACGATGACGCCTCTGCAACGCAACGCACCCAAAGCAACGTCGTGGACGTCCAGACGACGTCACGTCACCTTGCCGTCGAACAAAACTCACTCCACCGGCACGAACACGTTGGTGTATTCGAAATACTTCAATCGAACAGGGTCGAGGAACATCGCCACGGGAGACCCGCAAATCTCCACTTCCTTCCGAACCTGAGCGGGAAATAAAAGTATTTTGTGAGGAAACCGCAATGTTATTGCAATTTGCGAATGCGTGTCAGTGTACCTACCGTCATCCCGAACAGGCCCTGCGTAGGTACGGTCTTGCCCGAGACTTGGCCGTAGGACGATTGGTAGGTTATGTTAATTCTGATCAAAAAGTATTTATTCCAGCAATTCATGAAATCCTTGGAAAAAACTTGCGGTAGAAGAACGCGTGTTGTGCCTCATCGCTTCTGTTGTCGGTATTTAACTAATAAGAGTAGTTCCATTTTGGTTCACCTGGCGTTCATCATCTCAGTCACGTAGTGAATCATTTCGAAAGAGAAGGCGGCCAAGAGGTCCGGCGAAGCTCCTCCGTGGGCGACGAGGTCCTTGAACTTCTCCGGGAACTCCACCTGCCCCGGACAGCGAACGAGGACATGGGTCAAGCCCTCGAAAACGAGTGTAAGCCCCAAACGAACCTTCGCCAGCACCGACCATGAAGCCAACGTTGATGACGGACTGCTCCAGGTCGACCCTGCGGCCTGCCAGCGGCCGCTGGTCGGCCTGCACCCTCGCCGACGGCAAGGGGGCCTCCCGGGGCCACCTCGCCAGCAGCTGCAGCCGCAGTCCCAAGCCTCGGCGGGCGCGGTACGCGGCCACGGCCACCACGACGTCCTTGCTGGGGACACCGGCACCGCCAGCGCGTCAGTCATCGTTACCACGCCACCGTGCCGTGCCTGGCCCTCGTCCTCGTCCTGGCCGCCAACGAGAACGCAACCTACTCGGCGCACACGGTGGTGACGTCGCTGTCCAGGAGCACGCCCAGGCCGTCCAGGACGCCGTCGATGCCCGCGTAGCAGGCGTCCAGCTCTGCGCTGCGAGGCACCGCCGCCTCGGCGCGGAGGGGCTTCGCTGCCCCGGCCTCGGACACCACCGCAGTTTGGTTGGCGGCGTCCTGGCCGAGGCCGGTGCCGCCGTCCGCGCGGATCAGCACCCAGCGCGCGCGGAATCGGAAGTGGTCCAGCCCGTCCGCCTGGGGGAAGAACAACCCCATTGCTGCCTCCTGCACTGTAGAAGCCCGTCTCCTCCATCGGCTTCTCGCCTCACCGCGGCAAGCAGTGGCACTGCTCCCGGGCAGGCGGCGTCCAGCACCACGGTGATGGCCTCGCGGCGGGCGGGCAGCGCCGCCAGCCACGCCTCGCGCCGGTCCGCCACCAGGACCTGCAGGCCCTGCGCCGTGAGGGCGCGCCCCAGCGCGCGGCCCCTGCCTGCGGGCCGCCGGGAACATGAGCAAGACTCATCGGCCTGAACAACAGTGAAGTGGTAACGTGGAGAGGCCCTCGAGCGCCACAGACGCGGCTTACTTGGTGTGCACAGCAGCGCGGCCACGGCCGACGGCGTCCTGCCCGCGTGCACCAGGTGCTTCACGACGGCGGCCACGGTGTCGTCCGCCAGGTTGGCGCCGTGCTGCTGGGCCGTGGGGGCTGCCTGCGCCTCCACCAGCCCGACGGCCGCCGTGAGCACCAAGCCCAGGGCCACCAGGGCCAGGCCCAGGAGCTGCAGTCGCGCCATGGCCAGCTCGCGGGCAAGACTGGACGAACCCCAGCGGGATTTCCTCCTTTTACCTCCGGCGACTGGCACACCGTTGGGGCTGCTCGCCGCCAGCTCGCTGCGAGGCACCTGTAATGCGAGCCGTTTATTCTAAGTGGCGGGTGGACGGCCAGTGACTGCGCGTCTCGACAAGGGTAAGCGACTCGGGCAAACTCGGGGATGAGGCCCTTCGAGGCATCGATAATCCCATGGCGAATCCAGACCTACCACACTTTGGCAACACGATGTCCTACCCGGCCCGCCGGCCGCCAGCCGTTTACAGCGAAACACAAAAATGCTGGTGCACCTGACAGGCAGCCTGCGTCCTCGCGTGCTTCAGATCGGCGTTCGATCTCGTCATTTTTACCAGCTGACATGCAGCTCAATACGTTGCCTAAAGAGCAGTCGTGTGCCCATTCACAAACTGGAGTCACAACTACAGTAAACTCGATGGTCAACCTTATCATGCAAAGCCATCGCACCACGCAGGTAGCCTCTGGGGTCCTCTCTGAACTCGACCATGTTTTGGGAAGCGCTGAAACATTACGATCGTTATGAGCATGTCTACCTAACTTACTGCTTGGAATTCCTAGCCACATCCTAATAACATTAGTAGGCAGTGCGGAGGTTTGCAGGGCACAGCCGCCCCACCCCTGTCTGGTACTCTTGATCGCGCCTTTCCCAACCACTTCTTGCTTGTTGTCTGGAGTCTCCGGTCGATCGAGAAGGTCTGTGGCGAAACGTCGGTCACCGTGCCCTGTACCTAATGGGGGCTCCGCGCGCCCCGCGTGCTCGCCAGCCGGGCTGCGCGGTGGGCCAGAAGATCGGTGGGGGCGGCCAAAATTCCGAACGCGTTTTGAGCTCCAGAGTCGCTGAGTGGGACTCGAATGGAACGTGTGACCCCACCAACAGATTCCCCGTTCGGAGAGCAATCCATTGGTGGGGTCACACATTCGGTTTGAGTCCCATTCAGCGACTCTGGAGCTCAAAACGCGTCCGGGATTTTGGCCGCCTCCGCCGGTCTTCTGGCCCACTGTGGGCTGTCGTGCGCTGGGCCGGGCGCCGGGCGTGCGCGAGTGCGCCCGGTTCGACGGAGTAAGCCAAATTGATAGGCCAATTGGAGCTGTTGTCACGCAACGGCCGGCGGCACGCGGCTCGGACTACGTACGCAGCCTTTCGCCAAGGACGGGCCGTCCAGGACGCGTCGCCAAACTCAATCCGCCCCCGACTTGCCCGGCGAGGTGACCGCCGTCCCGGGGCGTCCAGAGCACAGTGTGTTTGTTGTGGTGCCGCCAGCTGGCTCGGCCTCGCGGCAGTGCGTGCCGCCCAGTGCCGCCCAGTGCAGCCGTCCCGTATGCATGCCCCATTTCATTACCGCCCGCTTAATTTATCAATTAAGCGGCTTATTAACCCGGCGAGGAAGCACCCCGGCGTGCGTGGCGAGGCGCGCCGCGGCGCCGCGGCCTGCGCATGCCTGCGCATTCGTTGCGCTAGCGCGCTGGCTGAGCAACGACGGCCTCTGGAGCCTCTGGACCGACGGAACACGCGAGAGCGACAAACGCGGCCAAAACCGACCTGCCGTTTTAGCGTCCCCGACCGCTGGAACCGCTGGAACCGCGACGACGCCACGCTCCGCTCTAAGGCAGTTACTCGGGGCGGGACTCGGAGCGGGACGCGCGAGTTGATTTATTTTGGCGGCCGTTGTTCAAAAGAAGCGCTGCTTCAACTCCAAACAGTCTTTTGGCGCCAGAGCGCGCGGAGCACGCCACAGCAGCGCCGACTCCCGGGTGATTTACTCCACCGCCTTCGGAAAGGCTTGCACCGCGTTTCAAATTAGCGCGACTCGCAGGTGGAAGGAACTTGGGGCTGATTTATCCCCGCGAGTAATTTCCAGGCATGTAAGGCGCAATTACAAACAACAAACAGACGTTACAGTGCGTCTTCCCCTCCACCTGCGCCGCGACGCGACGCGACGCCAGGCGACGCCCTGCGCACCGCCGCACCTGCGCCGCCGAGCAGCAAGTCACTCGCAAACTTCTTCGAAAAAGGAATGGGAGGAAAAGCAAGGAGCTCGGCAAACACATTTTTTGAAAAGTGTGTCTCGTTGAGGTGGTTGTCCACTGACCACGCGCCCGTTTACCTCGGCAGGCACTTGGGAGGCGACAATGCACTGCAATGCGCCCCCTTCCCCTCCGCCTTGATTCAAGAACAAAAGATGTTGCGCACACAGGGCGGCACAAAGGGCCGGGCCGTGGCGAGCCTCATCACGGCCTAACGAGAATTTTTCAATCAAGATGCAGGAGAGTGTGGACCTGGCCGTCCTCCTCTCCACGGCCTCGAGACCTCGGAGGCACGGAGGCTCGGCCTGAAAAGATGTGAGCCAAGTGAAATTACAGTGTGGTGAATTGATGAGCGCGCGAACCATTCATGGCGTAACTAGCCCTAGGGCGGGCAGGGCGGGCAGGGCGCTGGGGTGGGGACACGGCGAGGACACGGCGAGGACACACCGAGGACACTTAGAAAATAAGACGTTTGATTTTGAAACAGAACGGTTTTATCAATGGGGAGCATGGACACTCGTAAAAACACAGTGTGATCCGTGGATGCCTGCGTTTTTCCCGCAGGCTGGAAGTCGCCCCCATCACTCCGCCACGTCGTCGTCGGTCACGGCGTTCACGGCGTTCTCCTCGAGCTGCACGCGTCTTCATTCCAAATTCATAGCAATTCCGGGCTCGTCAAAACTGATAAGATTTGTTGACGCTGGTCTGGTGTGGTCCCGCTGGTGCGGTGCGGCTCGGCTCGGCTCGACACGGCTCGCTGGAGATCGCTGCGCCAATATTTGGGCAGCGGTAAACGCTATTGTTCCAGGCCCGCCTCGCTCAACCCTTGCCCCCACCCCCACCCCCACCCCCACCCCCACCCCCAGCTCGCCCACAACGGCAGCAGATTCGCAGAGATGATACTTCGCGTTTGTTTACGTTCATGGCTCTCTGGGTCGGAGGGTAATCCGGCTAACGCAGAGAACGCAGACTGCAGCGGCAATCCTGTTGAGCCGAGACGCTCCTCGAGACGTGCTCGCCTAGGCCTTGTCCGCCTCACGCGTGCAGCAAGCGCACTGTCCTGCAGCGCATGTAGAGCAGGGCGTCGAGGCCAACATGGCCGTGCCGCCGTGCCGCCGTGGCCGTCTACTCGCTGGCTAGCAATCTGTTCTTGTAATGCGCGCCGCATGTTTGTCCTCCCCTCCCCCTGTTGTCCGTGGCGGAGCGGGGCGGGGCGGGGCGGGGGCTGCGTCTGTCCAAACACAGTCAGGCGGCTTTACGCCTCTTTAACCGCGGATTACAAAGAGCGCCTCGAGCCAAACTGGATGACTTTCTCAATTTCTCCCTCCCCGACTCGGCGCGGCTCGGCACGCCACTGTGAGGTGGAGGACGGCGCCGCGGGAGAGAGTGGGCGGCGCCTCGCGTGTTTGCTTCTGGAAGACTGCAACTTTGCTACTGTCCTCTCTGCACGTCACTCATCCGCTCACCGACTGCCCCCACTTCATGGATTGAACCATTTCGACTTTGTTATTACTGTCATTATTTCAAGATTGACTTGCCATTTGCCAGTCACTCGAACCACTAAAGGTCTGCATAGGCCTAGCGATGATGATGATGGTGATGATGATGATGATATTTAAAAGCAAATTTAGCGAGATTTAGTCACCAGAAAATAGAATTTAATCGAATTTGATTCAGCCCAGATGGTGGAATTCCCTTATAGAGGCGACATCCCTTGTAAGACCAAGAACCCTCATAGTGCAGAAAGTCAGTACACAGTCTTCTCAAAATGTCAGATTTCTTTGGTATGGGTATGCACACCGGCACGCACTAAACACGCAGTAGACGTTTAGATCAGGCTTGAGCGTTTTACATTTTACTCGCCGTCGTTCCGGGCAAGCAAAGCATAGGGCTGGGCGCCGATCCGGCGACAAAGCGGGG